CCCCCCTGCTCCCGCCCCCGCCGCTGTACACGCTGTACTGCATGTTGAAGGAGCTCACGTCGGAGTTGTTGGTGCTGGTGTGGTCGCTCTGGCTCTTCTTCCTCCGCTTCATCACCAGCACGAAGAGCCCGGCGGCCACGAAGACTGACATGATGAAAACCAGCAGCAGGCTGAGGATCAGCACCGACAAGGGCACCGACGACGCCCCGCCGCCCGCGCCCAAGCCCGCTGGGGCCCCAGTACTGTTCAACCGGACGGCGGGGGTCACCACGCTGGTCCTCGCGGGGACCTGGATGGAGGAGGGGGTGGGCGTGGAAACCACCACATCCGAGTAGTCTGGGCACAACAGCTCAGACTTAATGGACCGCATGTCGGTCTCAGCGAACTTCTTGGGCGCCTTGCAGATCACCTCGTCCACCAGGACGCCCACTTTGAGCTGCTCGACCCACAGCTTCATGCCCACCACGTCGCAGGTACAATCCCAGGGGTTGTCATGCAGGTCAATTTGGATGAGTGACTTCAGCTGGTCCAAAACGCCACTCACCGGCAAGGAGGTGAAGTGGTTACTCCTCAGGTTCAGCCTGAGGAGAGTGAGGCCAGAGAAGACACCGGAGGGCATTGCCTGCAGGAGGTTGTTGTTTAGGAACAGCAGCTGGAGGTTTGGGACCGGGTCGAAAGTCCCAGATTGAATCTCGCGTATGAGATTGTACTGGAGGAAGAGATACTGCAGGCTCTGCAGGCCATAGAATAACTCTGGGCTTAACCTCTCGATCCTGTTGCCATTCAGGTAGAGGCGCCTCAAGTTGGTCAGATCCCCGAAGGCTCGGTCCTGGATCATGGAGATGCGGTTGTTACCCAGGTGCAGGAGATCCAGCCCTGTGGCCTCCAGGAAGTCTGTCCTGCGCACGACGGCGATGTAGTTCTCAGTCAGATACATCTTCTTGGGATTGTAGGGCTTGGGCTGCAGCTCAGCTATGCTCTCGACCTTGCGCTCCTGGCAGTTGACGTTGAGGCCCAGATCAGAGATCTGCAGGTTGCAAGTGCACGCGGTGGGGCATTCCAAAGGCACCGGGGATTTGGTCTGGTAGGCGATGCTGGGGCCATAGTTGCTATAGCCCAAGTCCTTGGAGGGCTGCCGAGAGGTTGGGCGCACCCTGGGCTTGTTGGGTTGGCGGGTCCCTTTCGGGGGCTTCAAGGGAGGTTTGTAAACAGCAGAGGAAGAAGTAGCCACGGAGTTCACCGAGGCCGGGGTGGTGTGTAAATACCCCGTGGTGCTCAAAGGCGTCTGTGGCCTCATCTCGTAGTCGGAAATAAGTTTCCTTGGGCAAAGCTCCTGTTTGGAGACCTCATCCAAGTCCCTGCCATGTAAGCGGAAAGGGGTCTCACAAACCACATCTCCCACCAGGGCGGAGTAGGAGATGCTGTCCAACCAATCCTTGAGAGAGATCAGCTCACAGGAGCAATTCCAGGGGTTTTCCTCCAGCTGTAGCTCCACAACTTTATCCATGTGCTGCAACAAACCCACATAGGGCAGAAGTTTCAGCCGGTTCCCTCGCAGGTCCAAGTGCGTTAAGGGCACAAAACGGAAAAGATTGTTGGGTAAACTGGACAAGAGATTGTCATTGAGGATAAGCACCTGCAACAAATGCAGTTTCCCAAACGCATTGGGTTCGATGACGCTGATGTAGTTGTAATCGACCTGTAGGTACTCCAGGTTCTCCAAGCCAAGGAACGTATCATCTCGCAGAAGTTCCAGTTTATTATTGTTCAGATGCAATCTCCTCAAACCCCGCAGCCCATGGAAAGCCCCGGTCTCAATGTCCTGGATAACATTGCTACCCAGATGCAAAATTGAAGCCCCAGTGTAATTGACAAACTCATTGGGATAGAGACGGTTCAAAAGGTTCCCAGACAACAAGAGGTGGTAGACTGGGAAACGGGGAGGGCTAATTTCAGAAAGACTGATGATCCCCCGGTTTTCACAGCTCACAGTTAAAATGCCGTCCTTCTCCTCACAAGGACATGCATTGTCACAGATTTCCCCATAATAATCGATGGTTTCTGCACACGAAAGGACGAGAGATGTTACAGCAAACGCTAGAGTCTGCAGCATCCAGTTATGCATTTTTCTGTGAAGGTCCTGTTCCAAAGTTACTGGGGGGCAGCAAGTGTGCATTTTACCTCCTGCAAGGGAGAGAGGAAACAAGGAAACAACAGAATATGACAACAATTTAAGGGATCAGTCAGAAAGTCTGTCTTTTCCTTAATATTATTGCTCTGAAATCCAGAAGAGGAAATAGGAACGACAGCCCCCCCCCACCCCCGAAACATCGACATTCTCCAGACTTTATTAAAATGGGATATTCATTTTGATTTGGAGATTGATTTCCTTTTCTAATGAGCACACCATGAATATGCTACTCTTTGTAAGACAAGGGCAGGGTAAAGTCCCATTTTAGTGTTCTTCTCTGCTCCCCCCTTTTCTAATTCAGTCCATAAATATACATAAAATGGCTGTCAGTTCGGTTTCATGGTTCTAATTTAAGAGAAAAGAGCACCATTTTACAAGGTTCCCCACCTCACCCATACCCAGCCCCCCTTCCTTTTTCTCAGAACCTCTTCAGTTAACTGTTCACCATGAAGGCTTCCCATTTTCACAGAAGAGCAAGGAGCCACAATACTTGGGCTATTTTAAACCACTGCTAGAAATGCCAGGGTGAGAACCTAAAGAATACTTTTCAAAGGCAAAAAGGGTGTCAGATAATGCATCAAAAGGAACCAGAAGAAGCTCTTAAATCACCAATTGTCTCCCGGAGCTTTGAGTATGGAGAAAGAGGAGAGCGCGTTCCCTTTGATGGTGGACTTCACTACCACGCTATTAAGCACATCAGCGTCCTAATTGCATGCACCGTGTCACTTAGCAGCGCTTCCCTGAGAGCGCCCTGCGACCACTTTTCCTCCTTGATCGTATCAGCGACGCTACCGCATCTTTAAGACACTGAAATAGTTCTGCAGGATGGATTACAAAGAACTCAGCGAAGGCATCCGCAATCTCCAAACACCTCCCGATACCTTGAGTTTAAAGAAACGTTCCTACCGCTTACCCAGAATCAGCTCAAAGTAAACCAAGGACCAGCGCCAAAGCCTCCCTTACCTCGGGCACCGCGTCTGTTTGCCATGGTATGCAAAACTAACCCTACAGAATTAGCAGGCTGTGGATCGAACTACCACCTCGCCAGCATCCCCATCTCTGGAGTTGCTTATTGCATTCAACTATTAATTTCTCTTCAACCCCCTCCCCCATCATCCCCCCCCCTCCGAGAAAGGGTGCCTGAGCTGATTAAGAAAAAAAATGTAAAGGTGGGAGGGAGGGAGAACAGCAAGTGGCAGAGGTCAGTGTTTTAATATCCAAATTTCATCTCCCTAAGGAATCAATCGGATCCCCTCCTCCCCCTTTTTTTTCTTGCTTTCTTTTTGTCCCCTTGAAGGCTTCCTTCGACTTCCTACTTCTCGGCGACAGCAGCACTCTTAAAGGAAGGACATAAAGGGAGTGAACGTGTGAGTGTGTGTAAATGCGTGTTGCGTTGGTTAGCGGGGCGGCGGGGTGGGAGGGGGGATTTGATAGAGATGCTGGGCTCTGGGAACCGATGCCTTTCCTTCGGTCAACCTTGCCTTTGCCTCACCACTAAAGTCTAATGTGGAATCACAACCCCAAACTAAAGCCAATACGTTTTTGAGACACAGGTTCAAGCCTGGAGACCTCGCTCTTGATCTCCACGTCAACTCCAGCCAGCGTTATTAAAAGCCCCTGCATTCACACGCACATGTGCAACTGTGTCTGCGAATCATTCACGTGTGGCCATCCAGACGGCTCGAGACGAATAGGAACCCCAGTGTATGAACCTTGCAAGTATCCACCACCTCCCAACGCCACGGAAAACGTCTCCAAGCTTAAAAGCGACAAAAACACCTCGTAGGAAAGCAAAACGTTTACCTTGAAATTTCCGTTCTCCACTGGTTCAAATCTGCACATCCATTCAGCGGGGTTGGGTCCCCTCCCCCTCCCCTCCTGTGCTTCCCCGCCCCCCTTCACCTCCCACCCCATCTGAGAGCCCAATGCACATTGTGTCCGGCCAGTATTAAACTCGAGCGTTTGTAACTTTAATTCAGTTCTGGTTAGCAAGGGTCGGAGAGCTTCCTCTCACTCCACTCCCTTTCCCCTCCTCCTTGCCATCAAAGGGACCGAAAATTTGAGGAAATAAAGTTGAATGAACGGGGGAAGGCTGACATTATGACTGGGAAACGCACCTCGGATGTAAATTCGCGGGAGCGCTGCACATTCTCAGATTATCAGGGTGTGTGTGTGTGTGTGCGCGTGTGTGTGTGTTTTGGAAGCCGGGGGCGGGGGGACTGTATTTGTACTCCCCCAAAGAATTTAGACCCTGGATCGCCGCCCTGCACAGCCCTGCATTAAGCAGCATGGAGCCGCTCAGGCTGGAGCCCCGCACCCAGGCCGGCCCGGCTCCCGGCACAGCTGCTGGAACGGCCGCCCAGGCAGCAGCACCCACCCGGAGTTCCAGGACGCGAGGCTTTCCCCCTCCCCCACCTCGCCCCAAAGCGAAGGAAGGAAAAAAGGAGGAAGGAGGGGAGGAAAGAGAGGGAAAGAAAGCCACCCCACTACACACACACGTTCTCACTCGAGCCTCTTTTGCAAAGTAAACGACAGACTTACCCAGTCTCACATCTCCAGGGCCCACTCATCACAGCCACCCTTAACAAAAAATACCTCCTTGCGATGTGCACTGGGTTTCTGAAGCCCAAGGCAGGGCGAGGAGGCAGCGAGCAGTGCGGTCCGAGGGGCTGGAGGAAAGAGGCGCCCGGACGCCGCCACCCCGGGGCCGCCGCGGCGGGGGGGACCGCGGGTTCCGGGGCTCCCCAAACGGCTCTCCCCCGCGCTCTCCGCGGTAGTCGGAGCGGGCAGCGGGATGGTGGTCGGGAGAAGAGGCACGGAGCAAGAGGAGGGGGACCCGGAGAAGGCTGCCTGGCCCCGCCGGCTCCGCCAACGTGACGGTCAGCCCTGCCGAGCGCTCGCAGCCGCTCACACTCACGCTCATTCGCACACTCGCTCCCACCCGCGCTACGGCGCGATCGAGGGGCACCCTTCCCTGCACCCCTGAGGCGGGTACTTACAGTTCCCATCTGCACAGGGGGCAACTTTCTCCGACCCGGCAGTGGCCGCCGCCCCCTCCAGCCACCTCCGGCTCCTGCACCCTCCGGCCTGGGTTCGCGCCGGTTGAGCATGCACGCCCCCTCCCCCCTCGGCTCTCTTCCTCGCCGTCTTCACCACATTCCCCCCTGGTCAGTGGCGCACGCCCGAGGACGAGCCAGAGGGAGCGGGACGCGGGGGTGTGCATGCATCGCCCTCCTTCTTCTTGCAGCGCACACTGTACATGGTAGTGAGGGGGCGAGCAAAGGTGGCACCGGCCCCTCGGCTGTTCCAGCCGCGGTGGCCGCGGGCCCCGCCGGAGCT